TGCGGCACAGTCGCTGGTTTTTTGTCAGTTCTGGAATAACGAGAAACATGATGGGTTGGTTCAAGTCCTTGATGATTTGACAATACTTTGACTATATTATTATCTTTCCAAGTTACTGCGAAAATGTCATTATTTTCATCAAATCTATAGTCGTATGTGCCTCGAATTTCTTTTTTCATCTCATCATCCTTTTTGAAAGAGCACTTGTTTGTTCTATTGTATCGGACCGTACCTGTAGCTCTTACTTTTTTTTCCGCTAAAATTTTCATCAGTGTATGACTGGTAAAAAAATTATCAAAATAAAATACATGGTCCATGGGGTTTTCAACCAACGAAATGTTTTTTAAAATCACTGAGGCTCCAACACCTTCAACTGGGAAAGTTTCAACCTGTTTTCCCTCATAAAGTTCTGCATGGAAACAGAATCCGGTTTCAGCGCAACACATTGCCCATTGCTTGAATCCGAACCGAATCGGCTTACCACGGATAAATTGCTTCATAAAGTGATGACCATAGTATCTGATCATTTGTTCGTCTATGCTTATATTTTTTCCGAAAACACCAAACTGTAAGAACTGGTTGTTCATTTTTTCTAGCAGTGGAGCAATTTTGTAAGTTTTTTGGCTTTGATTTATTTTTGAATTATCGTTGAGGTGTAAATTTCTTTTGATTTCCAAGTACCTGTTTCTCGACATACATTTCCTTACACATTGTATGTTGACGTCTTCATCCTCGCACCAATACATTTGCTCTTGTGGGAGAGAATGGTATCCTGTCAGTATCAGAAACCCAATGAATTTACGAATACAATCTACCGAAAATGTGAAGGAGTGCCGATTGTTTTGGGTAGCGTATGTGACACTTTGCATCACTATATACAACATTATATCTTCTGTGAGCAATTTCTCAAATATTTGAACCGCAGACATTCCACTCAAATCTTTTTTTATTTTTTCCTGCCTCTTTGAAATCTCCTGATCATCCTCCTCCTTTTAACTGCCTCCGTAGCCGAACGGTTACCATACCGGACTGCCACGCAGGGGTCCCCGGGTTCGATTCCCGGGCCGGGAGAAATATTTGTATGGCCTACATTTATTTCTCTCGTGAGTTTGGGTGTAATTTGTGGTTGTCTATGTGTGTGTCCATGGCACCCGCGACACAGGGTTTCCCTAGTGCGGGGCTATGTTGAGTGTGTGCGTTATTATTATTATCCCCCCAGATTTTATAGAAATCAGGTTTTGTTTTCTTCCAAACTGATTTCACAAGTTCCTTCTTGGAACTGCATTTGCGAACTTTCTGAGCCAAACCTGAAGGTCCTGCTTTGTTCATCTCTTCATCTAACAAATTGGATTGAATTTCAAGAGTTCCAGGAACATCTCGCGGTATTGTGTCTTCCAACTCATTTTCATCGAAATCTTCTTCATCAGAAACTACATCAACTTTTTCTGGTGGCAGCTCAACAATGTCGATTCCGTCACATTCTTCGTCATCAAATTGCTCAAGAAAGTTAGGATCATTATCCAGTGCTTCTGTGAGCTCTGCTAACGTGAAAAATTGCTTGGAACACATATCTGGAAAAAAAATAAAACAATTACGATAGTTGTACCCATATCTGCCGTAATCCCCAAATGGGGATCGCCAATGAAACATTTAAAATTCTATTATAAATAGGTATATAAAATTGAAAAATTATGTGTATAGAAAGATAAACATATAACGAACATTTGGTAAAAAAATCATATTCCTAACAAAACAAACAATAATATTTTTTTAATTACGAATATTAACACATAAATTGAACGCACTTACCTCAGAGACGACGATTTCAAAATGAATTTCCAAGGATTCCAAGAGAAGAGTAAAAACAACACGTGCACTAAATGTTTACTACATGTATTGTACTGATTACAAAAGGTTACTGTAACGGAATAAACAATATTTCCAGCTGCTAATCGCAAAAACACCTGCGATCCCCTAATGGGGCCTATGACAGGGAATGGGTTAATGTTAGAAGAAGACGAAGAAATTCATGTGAGAAGTAGGAAATGGGTTCATAACGCATGGAGGAAAAGAGAAGAAGAAGGAGAGTTCGCTACCCTATATAAACACCTGATAGATGATGAATCAAAGTTTTTTGAGTATTTTAGGATGTCAAAACATTGTTTCGACATACTTTTATCTAAACTTACTGAAAAGTTAAAAAAACAAGATACTCATTGGAGAAAAGCTATACCACCAAGGGAACGTCTAGCAGTATGTTTGAGGTATGTGTCAATAAAACAAAAAATAGTAATCAAATTATTTTATACTGTCATAGGTTTATGTTTACTTGAAAGAATTGTAGAACCCCTTAATTGTATATTTGTTATTAGAATCTTTGACAAGTACAATGCGGTTATCTAAAGTATTGTCTACCACAACAGTTTCATTATTATTATTAATAGCCATGTCTTGGGTCGTAATGTCTCTTCCACGTTCTTTCACCACACCAGTTTCATAATTATTATTAATAGCCATGTCTTGGGTCGTAATGTCTCTTCCACGTTCTTCCACCACAACAGTTTCATAATTATTATTAATAGCCATGTCTTGGGTCGTAATGTCTCTTCCACGTTCTTCCACCACAACAGTTTCATAATTATTATTAATCGTATTAGCCATGTCTTGGGTTGTAATGTCTCTTCCACGTTCTTCCACCACAAAAGTTTCATAATTATTATTTATCGTGTTAGACCTATCTTGGCTCGTACTGGCGCTTCCATGCTCTTCCACCACAATAGTTTCCAAGTGACTAACTTCATTAGACCTATTTTGGCTTGTAATTATTGTGCTTGATTCCAACGCACGCCTTGGAAATTTGTTTCTCAATAGTTTTGCTTCGTATTTTTGTACTATCGCAAACATTTCTGATTTAGCATCAAATAAATCGCAAGGGTGCAATTCTTTTAATGTCGGAGCAAGAGATGCCAAAAATATGTCAACAGGATGCTCATTTTGGCGAATTAAATAATCCATAACTTCTGATGAAGCTGTTCTTACAGAATCGTTTTTATTCTCCTTGCGTCCTCTGGATCCACGACTTCTTGATGATAATGATGATCCATATTGATTCGTTAAGGAAGCATGAGAATGTTGAGAAGCTCTTGATGGAGTCGGCGAATATGATAGCGAATCAATAGGAAGGGATTCAGAAGCGGGCGATATTGCTTGAGTCGGCAATGAAAATGCTGAAATATTAGATTCATCGTTTTGTGGTGTAACATCTTCATCATTGACATTTTCAATGTTATTTCTGTCGTCAAAAAATTTTACCAAAAAACTTAGTTGCCCATGATATTTATATGGCTTTGTTGACTTGCGACCTTGACCACTTTTAGTAACATTCTTTTGAATACTCTTTCTAAAGTTGTCCCGTATGTTCGACCATCTTGATTTACATATTAGACCTGAAACAAAAACACCCGTTTAATAGGTACAAACATACCACAATAATTTTAAATACTTAACACAATTGATTTAACTATAAAAAACTATCCTTTAAATTTATTATATTTCGTTTATTAACCTATATGTATTTCTTTTATTTCAGATTTTTGGCAACAGGGGACTCATTTAAAACAATATCATTCAGTTTCCGTTTAGGGCACACCACAGTACATGAAATTGTTAATGAAACCTGCAAAACAATAGTGGAGACTTTGATGGAAGAAATGTTACCAAGACCAACACAGGAGATGTGGCTATCCATTGCTAATGAATTTTATACTAACTGGAATTTTCCTAATTGTTTGGGAGCATTAGATGGAAAACACGTTACTATACAGGCTCCTGCCAATAGCGGGTCCATGTTCTTTAACTACAAGAAAACCTTTTCAATCGTCTTGTTAGCACTTGTAGATGCTCGTTACAATTTTATTGCTGTCAGTGTGGGTTCATATGGTAAGAACAGTGATGGTGGCATATTTGCAAAAAGCAATTTAGGCAAGGGATTAGAACGAGGTACTTTATCTGTACCACCAGATTCACCATTACCAGGCACAGATACACCAACTCACTATGTAATTCTCGCAGATGAGGCATTCCCATTAAAACCCTATTTGATGCGACCCTATCCAGGACGAAATTTGGATGTATCTAAAAAGATATTTAATTATCGTTTATCACGAGGCAGAAGAGTCGTTGAGAATGCCTTTGGGTTACTGGCTCAAAAATTTCGGATATATTTTAGACCAATTCAAGCTAAGCCAGAAAACGTAGACTATTTGATACTATCAACACTAATCCTACATAATTTTATAAAGAAACATGTCAATGATACATATTCTCATGGAACAAGAAATGTACAAGTGGCAAATCTAAGTGGAGATATATTTCGCCATCTCCCTTTACAAGGTGCAAGAAGTGCCACAAACGAAGCTTTCAAGACCAGAGAATTATTTAAAAACTACTTAAACGCTGAATCTGGATGGCTAGATGGTCAAGAGACGAGAATATAAATAAATTACTATTGATTATTATAATAATATTAAATATGACTATTACTTAATACTTTGTACCTAGCTGCCTAGTAGGACCTGTTTACTTGATTCGTTTTATTTTTTGTAAAGAGACAGACAGTTTACTTTCTCATTTATAATATTACTTAAGGATAAATAAATAACGTACAGAATACATATTTTTCTTTTCATTTCCAGTCCAATTAAGTAAGTATTTACATGATTGTGTAAATAACTTTTTCAACACATTTGCTCGAAAAATGCATTTACAAAGCCTGTTCGAAATTGTTCGAAAGTTAAAAATTACGCACCATACAACGGAACGTGCGGTAAAATAGGTAGGTACTCTCACATAAGTACCTATTTTACGGCATATCCCGTTGTATAGCACCATGCGTTTTCTTTACGGTTTTTTTTTTAATTTCCATAAAAAAAATATAAGAATTCCACCAAAGAGTTTCACATTATGAGAATAAACAACCTGACTGATCGAACCTCCTTGGAAGCGCTTTTGCTCAATACGTTGTCTCACTTTAATACTAAAGAGTAAATGAGACGAAAGATGTAGTTCTAATTTTCACCACGTGCATGTGGCGCCATTTGCAAATTCGCGCCATTTTCATATTAGTAACTTCAAAAATTATTACATACTGTACTGTTTTCTCGCAAATGTGTTGAAAAACATCGTATGACACACGTGCAGAAATTGGTATTTACAAACTGGAGACTATGGTAAGCCCTCGACTTCGTCTCGGGCTTACATTCGTCTACTCGTTTGTAAAAACCAACTTACCGCACTAGTATCATAAATAACTATTCTAACTATATTAAAAAACAAAAACCAGTATCTAGCTCATAGATGAATATACCCCTCTATAGATAGGTAACTTAGGTCTCGCTCAAGGTCGCAAAAGTGCTGCCTCTGGCGGTTGATTCACCAACTAAGGCTACGGCACAATATATCTATAATTGTAGGTAGTACATCTATATATGCACCTAGCTCCTACTAGCACGTTTTACCAATATTTTCATAATTACTATTTTCAAGATGGCAAAAATATCTTGAAAATAATAATTTTAGAAAATTAAACTTCTTTCAAAAGGGCAATAAAGAGAACAGTATCGTTCATAATTACATATTTTTATTTATCAGGTTTCAGTTCTGAGGTTTTCGCGATTATTATACATAGGAAATGAAACTACGCCTTTGACTGCAACAGAAACGCAACTAAAAGATATTATATCGGAGACAAAGTCCAAATTACGTAAAGCTCGGAATACAAACAAAAAATTGAAAATTCAAATGGCAATGAATGAAAAATTGATGAAATCTGGGCATATAACAGTTTAAAAGAAAAAATGACACCGGCAGCTCGGACTTTTTTCTCTATGCAAATTAAACAGTTTGCTATTATTATTATAGCTATTATTATTATTATTATAGTATTGTAAATGTTATTTACAAAGAGCAACCCCTAGAGTTTCTTGCTCATTCTTCTCAGGGGAATCTGCCTTACGAATGAGCGGTAGAGTTTAATATTGTGACGATTTCAAGTGTAATAATGCTTACCTATGAAATAAAGATTATTTTGAATTTGAATTTGAATTTGCTAAGAAACCCGAAGGGAGACGTTTTACCATAGATGAGAAGGTTTTATGTTTATCTGTTTACCGAATGTATCTGTCTAACGAATTAAGCAAACAATTAAAAATTGTAATTAAAAATTTACATGATTGTGGATTGATATACGCGATTTAGATCCGAAAAATAGTTTTAGTTTCATTTATTTTTTCGTAATTTATGAGTTTCATAATAGTTTCGAGCTGCCACTTTCATTTCATCGTTTTCATCCCAAAAAGTAGTTTTTCCTGATAACAGGTGGTTCAAGTCCTTACACCAATTATGGACAAAAAATAAAATAGATTTTTTAATAATTAGTTTTATCAAAGCGCTCTTGTGATTAGCACAAGTTATGAAATTAAAATTTATGTGTATTGATATGATTAATTCAAAATATTCAAAAATCTTCTGAATATGACACTTTGTTTTCAATACTTCTGTTACTATGTTTTCTACAATGAAAAAATAAGCGAATGCCTCTCGACTTGGGTAACAAAGCCATGTTTTGGATTGATCATACTCTCTTATTTTTATATATTGATGAAAATCTTGCATCTGCTCCGATTCTAAATCTTGTCTACAGGTTTGACAATCTTTGTATACATTTTTTTTTAAAAGATGTACTAGCCACCCGCTGCAGTACGCTACTGCTGCGCACTTTTCCTTTTTTTGGGGATTAATAATTAAATTATCTACATCAGGATCCCTTATGGACAGGTGGTCAGGACCTATTTCAATATTATTTATTTTTGGTTGAGGCACGCTTTCTATTAACATTTTTTTCAATGATTGTAATAGCTCTGCATTATCCTTTTCACAATTAGCCGCAACTGAATTATGTGACGTTATATTGCAAATTAATAAGGCTTTGTAGGAATTCATAAAAGCTAAAGCATTTGGCATTATGTTCCGTAGACCATGTGCTCTAATTGCCCCAAAAAAATTTTCAAGAGGATCTTGATATATATTGCGCAGCAGTATAGATTTCAAACCTGCAGAATGCAAGTATTTAGTTAGAGCAATAAAACTCTCAATACTTTGTACCCAACTTATCAAAGACGGTACACTTATTCTTTTACCACTTTTTGAGATGAATTTCATACCCTTTAAGGTTGGTAAACTTTTATACCATAAAGTACGGTGCGGAGATCGTGGTTTTACAGCACTTCTATAAATTTTTCCTGTTGCAGGTTTGTGGTAGTTGCCATTAACACTATCAAATAAGCGATCAAAAAATAAAAGTAGATCAGCAGTGTCCTCACTTCCTTTTGGTAGCCTCCCGGTCTCTGAAAAGAATACAAAGATGTGTTTTTTATACTTCACTGATTTAATTGTATACAATATAGCTGAAATGTATGTCATTATTTTTAAAATAACTTTTATGTAAGAGGTGCTGATCGATTAATAGAATAAATCATAATATTTATTTATTGTTTGGCTTAAAGTCTGTTATATGACACTCGCCCATAATTATTATCCCTATTTTGGGATCTCTTTCGGTCGGCCAACATTATGTATACCAAAAATACAAATAGATGATCATTATATTTTAATTAATAACAACTCAACCTAATGGAAAAGTAGATTATTTTACGTACTCTTTTAGTATCATACTAAAGAACATATACTAATGGCACTGAAAACTTATACAATGAAATAACAAACCTGCCATATATCCCATTGTTCGGCCAACACCTTCACTGAACACTTGTGTACAGTGTTTAACTCTCATTTTTGGTATTAGATTTGGAATGACATGTTGAGCTGTTAATTTGTTCACCAGCTTCACTCCTTTGTATCCTGGTCCACGATTGTACAGCGCCTCTATGTGAGACCATGATGCTAATTTAGTTTTTCCGTCTTCTGTATATTGTAAATTCTTTGTTAATAAATTATTTCTAATGCCCTTCATAAGGTGAGGTGGATCATATACAGAATATATTTTTTTTGAATTTAGTTCAAAAAAACCTCCAATGTATTTTTTGCCACTTTTCAAATATTTCTCCTTTGTTTCATTTATCAAAATGTTTATCGCTGCCTTATTGGTTGTGCCTTGATCACAGACAGTTGCGATGACTTTCAATCCACAATCATGTAAATTTTTAATTACAATTTTTAATTGTTTGCTTAATTCGTTAGACTTAGTGCTTCCTTTACAAAAAGAAAATGCAACTGGCTGCTTATATTTTTTAAGAACACCTCGTACCATGAAGACACATACATGGTCACTAAAGGTTCTCAACCTTTCTTCACCATTGTCCACAAATCCATGGATAACGTCATTAGTTTTATCATAAGATAAATTAGGTGCTATTGCCATTTCGTCAAAAATTAAACAACAGTACCTATTACGAACAGACATTTTCTCCACTTTTGTTCTCAAATGCTGAAACAATATATCATTAATTCCTGGTTTCAGATTTATTTTATGTAGCAGTTTTTCTAAAGTTCTCCTCTTGGGTAGTACATACATTTGACTGAGTATTCGATATGCTTTAGGGCATGGCTTGTAAATAGATAAACATAAAACCTTCTCATCTATGGTAAAACGTCTCCCTTCGGGTTTCTTAGCAAACTGTTTAATTTGCATAGAGAAAAAAGTCTGAGCTGCCGGTGTCATTTTTTCTTTTAAACTGTTATATGCCACAGATTTCATTAATTTTTCATTCATTGCCATTTGAATTTTCAATTTTTGGTTTGTATTCCGAGCTTTACGTAATTTGGACTTTGTCTCCGATATAATTTCTTTTAGTTGCGTTTCTGTTGCAGTCAAAGGCGTACCAACCTTACGGCGAACTGAAAAAAAAAAAATCATAATATTATACGCTGTGTATAAATAAGAACATAAAAACTTAACATGTTATGCTTAACATATCACTTATTTTAGTATTTATTTGTGTATTTATTTATTTATTTACAATATATTTGTAACTTAACAGCTAATATGCTGTAGCGCTACAAATTCATTCTTTCTTCAAGCATTATCTTGCATTCATCTATCACTCTTTCAATCCCTGTCATAAATATATCACACTGCGGTGCTGCATCCAGTGTAGAGTTGAGCAGCGACAGCGCGCGCGAGATCGGTGACTGTTGATAGTGGATGGTGCGCGCAGTAAGTACAGTTAACAGTTGATGGCTGCGAAGCCTAAGATAAGCATCAGGCACAAAAAAGCTTACTTATTTGTAGTAATTCTTTCAAAATTTTAACCAACAGCTTTCTTTACATTCCCGGAAATTTCTATTGACTCACAATATTATTTACAACTTGAACCCAGTGCAGTGGAAATATTTTTTACCTGTCTTTAACAGAACGGCTGTGTCCTTTTCAACTGAAGTAGAAGGAGTAGCTGTATCCATTACTGCAGGCACAGTTAGTACATCAGCAGATCTTGACTCAAGAGGCCTGCCTCCAGTGACATGTACACCTGAAATACATATACACATATACAATTAAAAAATAATTCTGATATTTAACATGTAAATCATAACTGTATGGTACCCGGTTACGAACAGGGCCATCCCAACTCTTCCAATTGGGTGTCGTAAAAAGACACTATGGGCACCCAATCACGTTAAGAGATTTTTTTAATATTATAGTTCAATCCGCGGACCTCTAATGATTATTATACTTCTGCAGGGAGTACCATAAAAAATAGATTTTTTTTTCATAACTAAAATGAGCTCCTTTGCGATATAGCTGATGAAATTGTAATTGACAGACTAAAGTAAAGGAGTAGAATTGTTATAAACTTACCTGGAATATGAAGTGATGAGATTGCCAGTGAAGTGAGTCTCATATTCGGATATGTGTAAATGTCTTCAAAGTGTCTATGACACACTTTTCTGTTTCTATGAATAAATTGATTTTCTTCTCCAATAATGTCACCTCCAATTCTCATAACCCAAGTACGGAATCGTTCTATTTGGGCAGGATTATTTGGATTGGGAAACCGATGTAGCGGTAATCCTGTAACAGTGATAAGTAAAGGCTAAAATATAAATATTTTCAACATATAGACTAAATTCTAAAATTTATGAACTCACATATTTTTTTTAGTTTTTATAAAAATACTCATGCATTTACAGACTCAAATTGTATACAATAATTATAGTAACTGTACAAGATTAGTTAAAGGTCATATTTTTAATACCACCAGTTTAAAAGACAAGTTTTACGTTATGTGGTACACTTACGTTCCATGGTACACTTACGTTCCATGGGAGCTGTCATCGAGAAAATAAATGCTTGGAAATCCTAGTCATAGGAGTAATGGAGATGAGGGGCACTATATCATCACGCGCAAGGACAACATGCACTATATAAAAAAAACCACATTCAGAGTGCGACAATGTGATTGTAAAGGTTTATGGTCTGAATTGATGCTTTATATCAAATTACTTACCACCTCCAAGCTTCATATCACAGCCGGGTACACAACAAGATCGTTGAGCCATCGTAAAAGATGGATAATGTCCACGATTAGTGTTTTACAGCAATCTTGACGTCAATTCGGAGGAACAAAGTTCAACTCAACGAATAGAAATTAGATAAACCGAGAAAACACACATAAAATATAAGAAAATAAGACGATATGCGTACTCGCAGCAACCGAAAATTTTCTTGTAAATAAATCACAGTTAATTCGAAATTGACAGTCAACGACAATTTTTGTATTACTTTTTGCGGCTATGGGTTCATGCGATATTGAGAATTAACGACAATCTGTTTCAGTAATGCCATACAAAAAAATCTAGTAAAGCGCCATCTAGTATTTCGTTTACAAACAATATAATTCTCCTTCAATATTGCACGAAGTGGTTTGTAGATGGCAGTTTTTTGACCGTTCCATCTCGTTAGTTCTAAGTTACCATAGCATGATCTAGCTACGTAAATAAAATAGGTAAATACTTACCGCTTACGCCCAATTCTAGCCCAATATTATTCCATATTGTTGTTTTAAAATTATTGTCCATGTATTTTCTATGTGAAAGGTCATAAATTGCAGGGTTTACACGGACCAATTCAATCAACTTTTCGTCGTCCATCTTGAAACACTGCAACAGTCTCAAGCAAAATATTGTCCGCTACAAATTCACGTCGGATCACGGACAACGTCGGCGCAGCACTGACACCACTGAACGTCACTGTCACTGACGAGTACGGATAGCGTCGTACAAAATGTATGCTACAATATGAAATTCCACTGACACTGATCGTTACGTTACGGATCGGCACGTGTCGGCACTGTTGTGTGCGGATAGGCCTTTAATGACGCAAAGTAAGTTTTCTAACAAAATAAAATAGTATAATGTCACGATACGCTAACAGACGGCCATTCTGCTCTAGGAATGTCCTCATTCCGGAATAAGCTCGGTCATTCGACAAGTGGAGAGCATGTCCTCATGCTTCTTCTAGAATTGCTCGTAACATAGGAGCAGTTGCTTCTTGATTAACTAGTCGACACGGCAGTGCTCCCACAATGGTGCCTGCTATAACACCTCTTACACATGAGACAATCACCAGCTGTTTGTCGTGGAAGATAACAAACAAACTAAAAAAAAAACAAACTAAAAAAATATATGTAATATGTGTATGTTAAAATGAAGACATTTCATAAATTTATTATAAACAAAATAAAATTTCAAATTGTAAAAATATTACTTTAACAGAAAAGAATGTCAAAATTTGTTGCATGTATTTAGTAATAGTACATAATCAAAACCTTAACAAATAGACAAAGTTATGATAGTGACATATTGTGCCATCAATTAGAATTAATAAAAATTAGCTCATAGCACAAATATAAGAAAATACAACTCAACAGAAGATTAAAAAAAACATACTGGCTATGGATAAGTTATTAAATTATGTAAGTTATATATATGTAAAGCAATGCTGGATTTGACTTTTTTAGGAGAAACCCCAAGATCAATGTATTAGTACCTAAATAAGCAAAGCTCAATCATTCCCACCTGTGTGAGACTCTGATTCCTCTTTATTGCTGATGCACAGGAACCGTGTAAGAAATTTAAAAATACCTCTCTCCTTGTAACTTTAAATGACAGAATAATATTATTCTGTATAGCGATGGACGGATATACATATAGGTATGCAACTGACTACCAAGACCACAATTAACAAATATGTATTATTTATGATATAAGGAAAATGACGGGACGAACAAGTTGCGCGCCCAGTGGCAAGCGACACACCTACCTATTCACTGATACTGCGCATTGCCATTCAGAACTTCAAATCGCAAACCATCTGAGGGGCATCGCCACCGCGCTCGTCACTCCGAGACACAAAGTTGACAAGTCCCAAGTGCCTACAATTTTATCCCCCTCAAAATTTTACACCCCTCAAAACCGGAACGCAACAATGCCCACTGTTATCCGATTATGGAATTCCCTTCAGTACGAGCCTCGCAAGAAATGAAAGCAATATGAGACATAATTTACATGTGTAAATACATAGTTTGTCATTTCGTTATAGAAAATGTTGTAGTAAATGCCATTCTGTTGATACTTATAATTTTATTTTAAATTACTAACTTCTTTATTCGACATAAGATAGGCATTGTACGATACACGATCGTACATTTTGCAGGATCAGCATGTTATGCCATTGACCGCTATTTAGGTTAATGCACTACGGAATGCACTTTAGTTATAAAACTCACTTGCTCGCCATCGCACATTCATCTATCAGTTATCATTTAAGCAGTTCGTTTAGCAATAAACTTCTAAATCCTATCAGACTTATCATTGAAAGGTGAACAAACCGTACATCTTTATGGTCCTTCGAGCCGGATCCTCGCGTGTGTAATTTTCGTAAAAATCTAACGTGAATTCGCCGCACGAGGATAGTGCATAAAATTGCAGTAACAATATCAGTGCAACGTGGAATAACATCTACTAAACACATCATCATCATCAGCTATCAGAATTATCAGATTATCAGCAGCAGTATCAGCTATCCGTCGTATCAGAAATCATCATCAGAAATCAGTATCTTATCACATCATCTTAGCAGCTTCTTTTCCTCTCCTGGAACATGTACGATACACGATCGTACATTTTGCAGGATCAGCATGTTATGCCATTGACCGCTATTTAGGTTAATGCACTACGGAATGCACTTTAGTTATAAAACTCACTTGCTCGCCATCGCACATTCATCTATCAGTTATCATTTAAGCAGTTCGTTTAGCAATAAACTTCTAAATCCTATCAGACTTATCATTGAAAGGTGAACAAACCGTACAGGCATTATTTTGCAAGTTATTCTAGGTGGCAGATAACAGAATTGCTGTCACATTACCAAATTGTTGGCTACCAGACAGCTGCTTCTATTGACAGGATTAAATCTCCTGACATTAAACAGTCTATTCAAAACTCAATTTACAAATATTTCAATTAATACGGCAATAGAGAGGAACTGCAACAACACATCGACAGCAAAAGAAAGCCTGTCTAAAAAGTGTGTGAACAAAATCAATCGCACATTAAATCTGCTGCATCAGATTATTCGGAGAATTTGCGGTGCATGATTCTACCAGCTGCAAATTGTTGTTAGAAAATACTAAACATATATAACATATTGCCTTTGCCACGCGTGTACATTAGGGATATCTGTGTATTTGTCAATTCTCATCCTCAATATTTTAAAACACGTGGTAAAATCATTCAAAGGCAAACTAAAGCAAAAATTATGAATCTTTTATGCGAAACCCGTTGCAATAAAGTGATTTACGAGAATAACTGCTTCAACAAGTGTATAACTATTTTCGATAAATTACGAAATGAAATTAAATTGATGCAAGGACATGCTTATAAATTACAATTGACACGATGACTTTTAACGCATTGCTTCTATAGTAATAAATAGTATAATTTACAAATGTTGTACATTAATTTGAAACTACAGAGACCAAACATTAAATCCATTAATATTGGCACATCTGCTTGCAGGTTGGTTATAATGCAATGTACCCTTATATTAAGTATAATTGACGTACCCTTGTATTGAGTATAAAAGACTTGTATAATTTCTGTGTTCTGGCAATTAAACGTATTCTATTCTAAAACATTCATTAGTAATTATATAAAATTTAAAGTACAGACATTGTGAGCCTATTTCTTGACCGGCATATAAAGATATTCTGCATATTTCAGAATGCATGTGTACTGTGATGCTTTTTTTTCTGTTAAATTAACAAATTATTTCTATTATATTAAGCTTGAGATCACTCACGTTCATCTTACAGATTGTCTGATAAACTGATTAGACTAGGTTTTAGGCAAAATAAATAACCAAATAAATATACTACTTCAGTTAATTTATTACAAGATCGTAGTCCAAGTAGTGGGCTCATTTCACTTTTTCAATGTTGTAAGTCTTGTTTAGACAACATCTATACCAACATCGTACCTAATATCTTTATGAATAAATCAACGTCCGATGACTGCAGTCACTTTTAACACACCTTTCGTACAGCACGGTGTTCATTAATTGTATAATTCACTTTGATAATTTAAGTCTAAAGTCATAACACTAATAATTCTTTGAAATCCAGTAATTCGGCCACAGTGGAAATGAAAGGACCTATATACTAGTGACAGTTTTAGCGACTTTGCTAGAGAGTAGGTACGCGTTATTATCTATCTTCGTATTGTTGCAACTAAAGTGATGTCATTACTAAGAGATAAAAGTTTCTATTCTATTAAGGACTTTACACATAAATCTCAATACATTTGACCTTTTAACTTATTTAACAAAATATGTATATTTATAGTATTTTTATATTATTGACATTTTCATGACACGACAGTAACTACTGTTATAATATGTAATCTTAAAAATTAAGCTATAATATAATATTTCGTTGTATATTCATTTTTCTAAGATTATATAAGTCATTGTATACCTTTATATTGCAACACCCTAATAGTTTGTTTGTATGAGATGCCTTTCTCAGTGCTATCCATTATGCAATTAAATAAATAAATCAATTAATAGGAATTTCTTTAGCTTTATTAAGCTATTAAAATAAAGATGCCCATCGATTTGCATGCTAATATCAGTAAATATGACAGTTGTTTTAATATGTATACCTATTTGTACCATCTTTTGAAAACAATATTTTCAACGAATAAATATAATTCATTCAATGAAATGATAATATATTTGAATGCCATGATGTGATAAATGAAATAGTAAAAACGACTTGGAATTGGAACATTATAAACAGCGACACTGGAAAGGACAAAAGTCATAAGTTAGCTTTTCAATTAACGTTTGATAATAAAGTTGCAAAGCATGTCATTTAATTGTAAATATAATTTTACTGCCATTTAGGTACTGGTGCACCACAAGTTTGTAGCATCTAAACTATGATCTCAATTAAGGTAATCTTTACATACCGCTTACAGACATATATAATAATTTTTAAAATATAAACTCCCAAACTAAATACTCTCAACGCCTTTAAATCGATAGATATT